TATGGCTCTTTCGAATGGGGTAAAATGTTTTTTTACTAAATTCAAAATTTACCCTTTTTTGAAAATCAAAAATATTTTTCAATTTTTTTTTTAAATAGACCTTTTTTATTCTTTAAAATGTAAAATGAAGCTTAAAATGTATACTTTTAATATAAAAATTAAAAAAAATGCCGTTTTTTCATAAAGATTTTGAAAAAAAAAATTTCGAATGAAATTCTCATGTAGAATGCCCGTTATAAAAGTAATTATAAAAAAAAAAAATTTCACCTATAAGTATGTTTAGTAAAATATTTATTAATATTATTATCATCTAAATTTTACAACTAACAATTTTTTTTATGTCAACTATTTTGATAGATATGCAGAATAGAAACCTTGATATTCAATTAAAACAAAAAATGTAGTATATATACAATAATATATAATTTATCATCATTTTTTTAAATTACTAATTAAAATCTTTTCTATGTAGATATATCTTTAAAATTCTCATTTTTGGTATAATTAATACATTATCTCTCTTCAAGTCGCATTCTTCCTTGTAAGTTATTTTTACTTTGATTTTTTGTACTCATGAGAAACAGATGGAATACTTTAATTATTCAAAAAGTAGATGGAAAAAATTTTTTTTAATGAATCATTAAATTCTGACTTGTATCTATAAATATTAAATTTGCTAAAAAATCTCGGGTATTCACAATTTTTTAACTTAAAGTAACAGTTGTAATATTTTTATTAATAATTCCTATACAAATATAATTTCCTCATTTTTTTCCTATTTCAAAATAGTACTATAACGAGATATTATATTCGCGAATATAGATTGTTCACAAAAACCTGATTATACTCGTATTAATACATCTGAAATTTTTCTCATCTCTATAAATGTGGTTTGTTTGTTTGGCGCGTTTCAACCAATCAAAAATTATCCATAAAATTGTGATTAGTTGATTTTAAAAATTATTGCGCCGAAATCTTTCTGTCAATTGTTTGTTCGGTCATTTGTAATTTCGGACAAATGAAAATTCTATCAATTAGAAATTCTGTTAAATGATTTTTCGGTTAAGTAAAAATTCTGCAGAAAAATCGGTTATATGGAAATTATATCAAATAATAAATCGAACAAATGAAAATTCTCTGCAATGAAATTCTACCCAATAAAAATTCTTTAAAATGCCTATTATGTTAAATAAAAGTTCTGACAAATAAAAATTCTGTGAAGCGAATTTTCGGTTATATAAAAATTAAGTAATTCTGAAAATCGATTTGGTGAAAATTCCACAAAATACTAATTCGAACAAATAAAAATTCGGCTCAAAATTAATTATGGCAAATGAAATTTCATAAAATGAAAATTCGAACTAATGATTTTTAGAACATAATCATGCGTTCCATACATGTATTTTAAGTTTACACATAATTTTTTTTCATATATATTGATAATTTTAAATTACAACTTTTATTAGAATATTTTTTTAAAAATAAAAGGAAAAAAGTAAAATTGTCAATCCATTATATTTCACCAAAAGTCGTTGCGGTCTATTTTTAGAAAAATCTTCTTAGTTCGTAAAACTCATTTTTGATTTGTATAGTTATTTTTAATAGTAATGTTGGACTCTATTTTGCGACCCAAAAGATGTAAAATTACTGAATGGAATGTTTTGTGGTTTTTTAGGGTCCTTAATGTAATACAAATAAAAGTAGTTTCATTTGTATGAAACTACTTTTATTTGTATTACATTAAGGACCCTAAAAAACCACAAAACATTCCATTCAGATATTTTTAATAATTATCTAAAATAAAATTAAAAGTCACCACTTCATGTAAAAGTACGCTTAAAATATTTAACACTAAGCTGTATTTAATAAACTTCTATTCACAAATTTTCTAAAAAAAAAATTAATTAAAATTTGTTAAATTTTCACATTTTTCAGGTAAATTTAAAAATTAATTTTCACTTAATATTGTAGTCGTTTTTATATATAATAAATTAATATAAGTGAATTAGACTATTTTGAACAAATGTCAACTAAAAAATTGACATTAATGATTATTACGAAATATAATATTTTTCTAAAAATAGACCGCAACAACGGCTTTATAGGTGAAATTTAATGGATTGATTCATAAATATTTTATATGTTCTTCAACAACGGAGAATCTACACGCTCGTGTTGTTTTTGGGTTTTTTTAGTGATTTAAATTGTAGTAAAATATCCTATATGTTTTTCAAATTAATTTTTTTTTTTATATTTTCTATCTCACTGACTATATTTATGGAAACTTTGTCAAGATCGCATATAAAAACATGTTAATTATACAAAAAGGGTTAGAATATCAGATGTCAGTTTTTTATATTGCAGATGATAAAATAAGTATTTTATTATCAAAAAAAGACATATTCAACATTAAGAAAACATGCAGAATAAGATTTATGGGAAATTTAATTTGAACAAAATCAAGAAAAAACATATTCATTTAAAGTATTATAATTATTTAATTAGATGTTAAAAATAAATTGTCCACATTCTTCCAATTTGATTTCAACAAATATTTAAAAAGAACATTTTTAGATTAATTTACACTATTAATTTATTCACAATACAAAGCAATTGTATATAAAAGTAAATTCATTAAATATTTAATTATTTAGCAATTTCAATTTTTTTAATTCAATTATTTGAAAAATTCGATGGTATTAAAATTTTAATTGTTTAAAAAAGTTTAATTCATTTAATTTAGGTACATGTTAATTATTTTTCGTAAAATTTTTTTTAAATTGAATTTTTCATTTCAATTTTTTCAAGATACTCTAAAATAGTCAAAAATTTATAACATTTTTAGCGCTTAAGAGACAATTTCACCAACTCTGGTTAAAAGTTAATCAACGATTAAAGCCAATTTCACCGATCATGATTGGTCGGTTAAGGATTTAATCGCTGATTAACTTTTAACCGGAGTTGGTGAAACTGCCCCTTAATGTTGCAAGAAAAAAAATGTTACTTTGTGCGATCATTAAAATTTAGAGATCAAATGTTTCCTAATTCTACACATAATAATGAAAATTTTTTCTCTAAACAATTTTTTTCAAAAGTCAATTGTTCATAAGTTATCAACAATTGAAAAAAGGGTTATTTTTTAAACAAATGGTCATATCTTGCTCAAAAATCATCGTAGAAAAATTTTCAAAAGGTGATAAAATAAGCTTTCAAATGCCGTATCCAGAATTAAATTCTGATCATTTCTTCATAAACTGTATCAATTTGAAATTTGCAAAAAAAAATGGAATTTTTTTTTTATTTTAAACAATGAACAATTTTTTTTTTAATTTTCTCTTTCGTATCGTACAAGTCAAAGATATAAGCTTTAAGATGAATATTTGACGAAGGTTATATCTTTATTAGAATTAAAGATACAAAACATTTGGTAAAGCCCTGATATGCTGTAAGGTAGGCAAATATTATTGAGCGGCAGTGCATAAATATATACTCTCTAAATTTGAATTAGTAAAATTTTTTAACTAATTTGAATTAGGGACTAACTTTTTGCTTTTGAATTAATTGAATAGGGGAGAGTGGGGCAAAACCGGGTAGGCAGGTCAAACCGGGTACCCCCAGTTTTCCATGATAGGTATTTCCATTTGTGTCAGCCATTATATATATATATATATATCTTTTATATTACAACTAACATCATTTTAATTATATAACCACTATATAAAAATTTATTTATTATATTTTATGCGACTTTTAAATTTTAGGTCAAAAGAAAATCCATTTTTTATCGAAAGTAAATCACTTATAAAACTTTTTGTGTCGATATATTCGTTTCGGCAAGTATAACATATTTTTCAGCATTTGTTTACGAGTAATTTTCATTAAAAGTAATTGTTAAATTATTAACAATAAGCTGAGAATTTTACATTTTGTTAAAAAATGCAGTGCGGGGCAAAACCGGGTACCAAACGGTGGGGCAAAATCGGATATATTTAAATGCATTACACTATATACATATTTAAATTATATCTCAAAAGAATCGACATATATATATTTCGAAATCGATGTTTAACTTTCGATATATCAATTATTTACCATATCGATAAATAAACGATAAAAAATTAATAAAAATATGAAAAATTTCGTTTTAAAAGATTTAACTGCTGTTATTCATTATTAATATAATAATATATTTAGATTAAATTTATTGAATAAAGATTATTTTTTATAATGTAAGTGATATATAATAATAATTGAACAAAAAGTTAAAGAATATTCCATGATTTATATATTTTCTTGATAGTACCCGGTTTTGCCCCACCATCGGGGCAAAACCGGGTACTTTGCATTTTTTATTTAAAAAACCTGGTTTAAATTGATCAAACAATTTTTTGTCATACAATCGACTTTATTTTCTCATTGTCTAATATTCAGGGAAGAATTTTCAACGAGATTTGAACTAATTTATTTGATAGATTCTTTGTAAACCGAGAATTCGAAAAAGGTACCCGGTTTTGCCCCACTCTCTACTACTAATTCTAGTAAATGCTAATTAGGTAAATACTAATTCAAAAAATCAAAAATCCTACCACTAAAATAAAAATAAAAAATCTAATACACCGAAAAAAATATTCTTGATTTAAGAGGATTTTCACTAGAGAAATTTTCCTCGATTTTTAAGAATATTTTTTTTCAGTGTATAATATTGAGCTTGCACACATTGAATAAAGTGAATTTTAATCTCCCTTCAGCTTATATATGAAAATTCATTCTAAAACAAAATTTAACATTATTTACAATGAAAAACCAATATGTATATATATATATATATATATATATTAATTTTAATAAAATTCCTTCATTTTTTCCCAAAGGAAATACACAAACGTCATATGCGAATAATTTTTATTTCCTGAAAATTATATCATAATGCGTCAATAAAGAAGTTATAATATTATTATATATCGAGTGGGGAGTGGAGAAAGAAATTCTAGCGTGTGTATCATTCATGAATTAGAAGGAACAGTCGCCACCGCGTGTCCGTTCTCAACGGACTGTTCAGAGATCTCGTTAAATTCCGTTCATTATATATATATATATTATTTTATCACTCCCAAAAGTGTCGATTGCAGAAAAACGTCGATATTAATATTTCCAATAGTCGAATAAATAAAGTCGAAAAAGTAATTGAGTATCGAAAAAAGAAAAATGGCGGGAAATATTAAAAGAAAATAAATGCAAAAAATTTAAAAAAAAAAACACAAATGATAATAAAAATAAGAGAAGAAGATTTAAAGAAAAAGGATAAAAAAAAAATTTTAAGAAGTAAAGTATTGATAGCTGATAGCTAAAAAAATAAAAGAAGTTTACCTTGTAGGTTCTTCAACTCTAAAAATCGTGATTGAGAAGATTTAATGGAAACGAAGAAGAGAGAACGAGACAGAAAGGGCTGGTAAACCTTCGAGGATGTTTGAATACTACCTGATGGTTATATGAAGTAGTTGAAGAGTGTTCTCTCGAATCTCGCCTTAATTACCTAGAGCTTCTTGTCATTTTATACCCTAATAACACAAAATGCTTTTCATTAATGAAAAAAAAATTTATCAAATAACAAATTTAAGGATTTCAAATTAATTATATAAAAAAAAAATTTTAATCCCCAAGGAATTAAATTATTACAAAAATTTTTTAAAATAGCATGAATATAATTGTTTATTCAAAACAAGGGAGCATGAGTGCATACTTAAAACAATGAGAGAGAGAAAGAGAGACTGAATTAAAAATAGATAAGAGAAGATGGGAGAACTGGTGTAATCCACGATATGAAACGTTTTACAAAATCATCACATATAAAAGAATCACTAATCTTCGAAATACCACACGAGGAATAAATTTTCTTTTTTTTTTTTTGCAAAAAATTTAATTTTTTAAAAATGAAGCTAATATTTTATTGGACATTTCTATTAATGTTAATAAATGAAGGTTTATTAAAATCTGTGAAAAAATGTTGCCAACAAAATGAAAGTTTACAAAATATAAATGATGAACTTGTGTGTATAAATTCAACATTAATAGTCGAATTAAATAATTTAAATTCAATTGGACTTCCCGATTGTGAATTATTGGGAAAACATTTTTACCTATCTCTTGATAAAATACATGATGATAAACTTTATACTTCATCGGCTGCTTGTTTAGATCATTTATATGACAATCAAACAAAATATAATATACCAATTATTGTTTATTGTGATCAGGATGCGGGAGACCTTCATAATTCCAAGAATTCACTAAGAACACCGCAAGTTCTTAGTGTGAGAAAATGTTGTCCAAGTGGAGAATATTTTGACATTGATGGAAAATCATGTGTTTCTTCAAAAAATAAAATCAATTTTAAGACCTTCCTTCATATCTCAAATGAAATAGATTTAGTGGCTGTGGATAATGGTGCACCCGTATGTGAAAAAACTCTCGTCAATTATGTGATTGAGACACCAAATGTTTACAAATATCAAGGAAAATTACTGGTAAGAGTATAACTTCATCTCGTCATGTAATCTACTTTCACTTGTTTTAAATATTATATTATTAATTTTACATTTAAAAAAAAAATTATGAAAAATAAATAAGTATTTTCTTATTTAAGATAATGTAATGAAAAAACATAATCATCTCCAAGGTAATTAAAGTTAATTATGATTTAAATACTCTGAAGAACGCCAGTAAAAATAAAAATCTCATATAGGTATATAGAAAACAGGTTTACTCTTCCTGTTCAATGATCTGCATAATTGTCGTTATAAGGCATAATCTTTTTTTTTCAACACTTTGTTTCACTTTTTTTTTTTTTTTAAAAAAAAAAAAAAAAAAACATAAATGTAGAATGTATAATTTTTAATTGAAAAATGTCATTGAAGCAATTAAAAATATACTTCTTGTTGAAACTATTGAATATTCAAAAATCCATTGCAATTAATCTCGAAACTTTTTTTCTTTCCAATATCTTTTGCAAGTAAATGGCATATATTTTACAATTGATGCAAATTTAAAAACTTGTAGCATGTTATATCGTGGAAAAATCAATCAAAATTAAAAGATGTTCTATGTCAGCGATTCAATGAAACAACTTGTTTAATAAATTTTAAAGTATTTCCCTTATGATTTATAGATCGTTTATGAATTACGTAAACGCACAGCGTTCCAAATAGACGGGAGAGAGGTATATAAATAAAATTAAAAAACATTTTTGATATCGTTTGTGAACAATTCTTCTAAGAAGAAGAATCAAAGTTTTTAAATTTTAAATTGAAAAATATCGATTGTTTTAAAAATTAAAAAATTCTTTTCTCTAAATTAATGAGAATTCGTTAAAATTAGTAGTTTTCACTAATTTTTAATAAATTATTACTATTTTATTTAGTATAATATTTTTTTTCACTAAACTTTAGGGACACATGTTCTAAAAATCATTAGTTCCCTGAAGAGGAAAACAGTGAAAGATTTGGGGAAATTTTATTAAAAATCCATTTGTCCGAATGTTATCGTTTTTGTTATTTATTCAAAATTTCTATTGTGAAATTTTTTTTTTTTGAGAACTTTAGGCAATATAAATTAGTAAAATTTGGTAACCATTTTCTTTCATAGTGTTGAATTCTATATATGTATATGAATTAGTATTGTACATAGAAATCAATGCCACCAGTCACATCCTGTAGATAAATTTTTACATGTATGAAAAGTATATTTGTTCCTCTTTTCCTTGAATCATTACTTATTGATATAATATTTATTCACCATATATTTTGGAAAAAACCGGAAAGATAAGATTAACATCTTTGTATATATTTTTTGACTAAAAGCTTACTGAATTCTATTATTTGAGATCTAATGTTTATGCCTATGTACATTTGCCTAAGTATATAATTGAATGTAAATTTTTTACCGACAAAATCAATTTAATTTTAAATTAGTTATTGTTCAGTAAATTTTCGTATTCAAAATTTTCTTTTTGATGAAAAAAAATGCTTTTAAAACTGACTGTAAAAAAATTAACATGGAAGTTAAATTTTTTAAGTTAAAAATCAACTCAAAACGGGGGTTTAAAATTAACTTTAAAACTAACTCCCTGGGCATAAAATTAATTCGAAAAGCATTAACTCCCTTCGCGTCAACTCCAAAAGGGTGGGACTTTTATAGCGTTGTTGTATCTTAAGAAATAATTAGAAAATTCATATATATATATATATATTCGTCGGCAATAATTTTCTTTCGATTTCTATTGCATTCAAAATAAGTTAAGTAAAGCTTTGAAATTGCGTGCGTATTTCACAAAAGATCAATTATATCCCTTTACAATTGCTTTATCGTGAAATGGAGTTAACACAGTTAGAAAAGCCATTTACTTCATTGATCTCACTGAATGGAGCATTAGCGAACAATTTATTGTACCTTTTATATAAAATAATTTTATTTTTACCAAAAATATATTAAATATTCACGCATATAATTTACACTGTAAATTTCAATCAATTAAATTCCACGGATAATCAATGAAATATGATTCTCAGTGAACGATTTTTTTTTAATTTTATATCAGTACAAAATTAATTAAAAAAGTAAAAATTAATTACAAAAATTAAATTACCGTCAACCGGGTCTATTCTGCCCACCGTAATTGGAGCCAATGAAAATTTTAAAAATGTTTCAATTACGGCGAGGGAAAAAATTTGATCTCAAATAATTAAATTAATAATTGTTTAAATGTGCATCTTTATTAGTAATTGTATAAAAAAAAAAGATTAAAATTTAATTTTTTAAAATCATTTTCCATCAGTTATATTAAATATAATAGTAATAATAGTTATTTTTTATGAACGCGCACTTATCCTATCGATTCTTTAAATTTTTTCAAAAAATGATACGATTTAAATGAATTATGGGTTATTTTCTTTAGAAAATATTTCTTAATATTTGAGGAAAACTCAATATGTCGGCAATAAGATATTGATGATTTCCCCAAATATTTTGCGAGTAAACTTACGGCGAATATTTATTTGTAAAATCACAACAATCACATAACCTATTAATTAAAATGAAAATTATTTTCTAAACAAATAATATTTTTAAAATACACTTAGAAAAAAGAATTCTCAAATTAAATAGAGATCTGTTTAAACGATTTTGTTTAATTTAACACAGTTTGTAATGTTTTATTTTAATATATAGAAAATATCTATTACTTTCATTCGAAAATACTGTTTGATTGAATGAAAAGTATAAAGGCCTGAGCAGAATAGAAACGTAACAGGAAACGCAACCGGAAGAATAAGTTAGAGAAGGATAGACATATTGTTTGTCCTTCTCTAACTCATTATTCCGGTTGCGTTTACAGTTACGTTTCTATTCTGCTCAGGCCTTAATATCTTTGATTTAAACTTATGGAGCATTTACACCTTTAGTAAAAAAAAATTTTATTTTGCTTTTTCCGAAGTACACAAATCTGATTGGTTGTTCACAATCTGATTGATAATGGACAACCAATCAGATGTTTGCATTTCGGAAAATCAAAGTAAACATTTTTTTTTTACCAAAGGTGTAAATGCTCCATTAAGGGTTTGTTTTGCATGTAAACCATTGAAATTCCAGTAGAACGTCTGAAATATGCCATATCTTTATATTTTTGAAACCTGCTTCACTCTGCTTTTCTTTATTCTAGTTCTCCGCCATTTATCGAAAAAAAACTACCAATCCCTGCTAGGTGTCACAATTCGAATATTCCACACGAAGAGAATTCTGTTTACGTGTGTACGTCAGTGTACTTATACGCCGGTTAGCTATTGTGTTGTATAAATTCCGCCTGAATATCAGTTGGAGTTCGAGTAATTTTTATAAAGAGAACTCAATGCTAAGTTTATAAGTCGGGTTCCTGTCGAATTTCACTTGAATTCAAGCAAAAGTCGCTATACGACTCTTCCATATGATTAATCTAGGTTATGTTTCGTATAATAATCACCACAGAATTCTCTCTGTGCAAAAATTATTTTTTATTTATTTGTCAATAAAATTTTGACATGATTCTTAACCTAAAAAATTATTTTTCGTTTATCGTTCGTAGATCATTTTAAGTTTGAAAGTTTATTCATGTGTTAATTAAATTTACTGTATTTTTATCCAAAGTGCTCAAGTACCGTTTTTATCATATGCAAAATAATTTTTGAATGTTTAAAATTTTTTTCCTTAAAGTATCTATTCTTTCAACGGATATTATTAATAGTATTTGAATTTTTTAAATGTCAAATAAATGTTTTTTTCTTAAGTTCTGCATTTCCGTGTATAAAAGTCCTTATGTTTAAAACATTTCTCTGTAGAAAGTTTAGAATTTTATTTAAACGTAAAAACAAAAAATTGTGATTTTTGCATAAAAATAGCTCCGGTTAACGGTATATTTGATTAATTCAGTTTTGAACTGATTGCCAATAAATGTTAATTGATTATTAATTAAATCAGTCAATCTGTTTTATATCAACTATTAAGTTGATTTATTAATTAATTCAGTTATTAATTGATTCTCAGAGAAATTCTGTTGCCAATCATTTGAAATTTCATTGATTGTCAATGAAAATCTTTACTGAATATGAATAATTTAGTGGACGCCTTTTCAGTATTACATTCTTTTTTATTATATACAGAAAGTAAAATTTCACAGTTATAGAAAAACAGACAATAATTTCATTCAGCCAAATAACATTCATTTTTTTATTAAAATTTTACCAATTTCAATAACAATCAAAGAATCTGATTTACTAATTTGTATTTAAAAGGCATTCACAAAATACCTATATATATATATATTGCTGTGTACTAGAAACGTTTTCCTATTCTTTGGGAATTCCAAGTATTATATACATATACATATAGTTACATACATAAATATTATGGTTATATGTATACACTCGTCAATATTCTTAAGATCCGTCTCGCATTGAAACTGACCAAACAAGTTTTTATCTGCTCAAAATTTTTGAAAGTTTTATATTTGTTACCTTCAATGAATATGTTATATTATTTAATATATACATATAAGTATATGTAGAAAATCATAAAGTGGAAAAGAATTTTTTTTTTTGTTTTAGGCGAAAGTACCTTGGATGGAAGAATCAATAGATCTCACGAGGCAGAGTGATGTTGAAAACATTTGTTTGGATATTGATAATTCACGTAGTTTTCTTGTTGCACGAGTTTGTAAAGATCGAATGTATTGCAATAATAATGCTTGTTTACGAAAATGTTGCCCTGAAGGACAGGCATTTTTTTCTGATACAAATTGTACGAAATATTCTTTAAATGATGTTGACACTGAATTTCATTCAGCGCTTGTTAATATATCAAATTTGACAAGTTCTAATATTAATACAAATGGTAAGAATACAAATTAACCAAAAAAAGAGGTCTTTAATTTTGTGACGCGCTCTGAAGAAAGGGACCTTAGAAGCAAAAAATTATTGGTTATGTTTTAAAATTTCGAAGTGAAAATACACTCAGAGGATCATTTTTCAATACAAATTATTGATATTCAAGTTATTATTACATTCAAAATATTCAATAAAAACTGATTTTTATTTTGTATAAATTAAAAAAAACTTTTAATCAATGTGAAATTATCGTAAACATAACATGAAGCTGAAGTACTCAACGTTTATATATAAACGATTTTTAAAGAAATAATTTTTTAAAATGAAAAATTCTATAATTTTTTGCCTAAAAAATATTTTTTTATAATTTGTTGATTAATGAAAACTACAAGAAATATTGTTTAGGCAAAAAATTATAGAATTTTTCATTTTAAAAAATTATTTCTTTAAAAATCGTTTATATAAACGTTGCGTACTTCAGCTACGTAACATAACCTATAATTCGTTTGTTTCTAAGGTCCTTTTCTTCAGACGCGTCACATTTAAATTAATGAGAATTCATTAACTTATTCAAAATTAGTAGAAATTTTCTCTAATTTTTAGTAAAATATTCCTTTTTGATTTAGTAATCTATTTTTTTTACTATTTAATTTTTAATATTTAAAAATTTTTAAAAATCTGGTTTTTTCAAGTTTTTTAAAAGTAGACCTTATTTTAAGAACATCTAACTTTAAAAGTAATGAATTAATAGGAATTATGGCTAAGATACAATTTATTTTTAAAAAAAAATTTTGCCTTTTTTTCAGTTTATTTTATTTTTCAAAATAAAGTGCATTTTAATTTGCTTTTCCAAGAGTTAAGTATCAGTGTGAAAAATATTTAGTCCAAATATTTAACCAAAATTTTGTTGGACCGACAAAAAAATTTTGTTGGTATTGAAGCAACCAAACTATTTGTTTGAGTCAACCAAAAAATTTGGTTGAGTGTTTTTTGTTGGCATAACAAAAATGTTTGGTTAGCTCAACCAAATTTTATTTGTTAGGTCAACAAAAATGTTTGGTTGATCAAACAAACAGTTTTTTTTTTGTAAAATTAAAAATTTTATTCTACCTTATCTCTTTTCTTTTTATCTTTTTTATTCATTTCATTATTTATTTATTATGAATTTAACATTGAATTTATATTTATCCAATTGAAATATTTGTGGACTTTGAAAAATCTCATCTTCCCCTGGGATCGAACCTCTGTTTTAAAACTGAAGGTCGGGAGCTCTGACCACTGGACTACCCATCCTTGTGAGAGATTTAAACTAACTGTTCTCTTAAGCTATGAGCTGAAAGCGAATCAAATTATATAGTTGTCGCAACCAAATTTTGGTTAGGACAACAAACGATCATTTGGTTTTTTAGACCAAACTATTTTGTTGTGTTAATCAAATTTTTTTGTTATCGTAACCAAATTTTAGTTGGAATTTAAAAATGGTCAACCAAATAATTTTGTTGGCCTAACCAAATGTTTGGTTGAGATAACTCTACGACTTTGTTTCAGCCAGCCAAAATTTGGTTACAAGAACCAAAATTGCCTAACCAAACAATTTTGTTGCAAACACTAAATTTCTTTCTCAGTGTAAAAGACCCTAGTGACTAAAAAGCTTTTTATTGGAAAAATGAAAAATAAACGATAAAAAGCAAAAAAAATTTTTAAAACAAATTTTATAAATAAAAAGGATTATCAGACCAGCTCAAAAACATATTACAATTTTTTTAAAATTATTTTCATATGTAAAAATAAAAAAAAAATAAAAAAAAATCATGCCCAAATTTTAAAAAATTAATTTGTTTTTAAAAAATTGTTATTAACTTCTTATATATGTAAAACATTACAGTATACATTTACTTACACAGGAATAATAAAATAAATTTCCAAGAAATATGATTTTTTACACCTGTTTACTCCCCTGTATAGGCCCTGAAGCTAATTTTTAATTTAATAATTCTTAATGTTAAATAAAAAATTTTTTTAAATTTAAGATTATGGTCTTCTTGTTGGGAAAACTTGCAAGCACAGCATGTACGCCCTTAATCCAACAGAAGGATGGTCTGTAACACCAGAAGGATATATTCACATTGAAATGAGTGATAGATCTCACTTACATGATGAATATTGTATGGAGATGTTTTATAATTATTCTGACTATAGTGATGGAATTTTTCCATTTATTTGCTTTGATGAAACAGTTTATGAGACTCCAAGACAAGTGTAAGTAATAAAATTTCAATTTAAAATTATACTTTAATGGGGGAGTCCCAGCTAACTCATCAATAATTATATTGTCGACATTTGATATCTTAGATTTGCATATAGAAAAAATTTTATCTGTACGTAAAATTATTTTTTCTATTTTCGAAGATAGGTTTTTTTTTTTTAATACCAATTTTCATTTTTGAAATTAGCATTTAACAGAATTTCTTTTTAAACGAATTTTTACTTAACGGAATTTTTAGGTACCGAATTTTTATTTCGCAGAATTTTTTATTTAAAAGAATTTTAATTTAAACGAATTTTAATTTATCATAATTCACAATTAAGTAACAGAATTTTAAGTGATTATAAAAATTTTTAAATTTCAAAAATTTCAATTCACCAAATTTTTATTTGTTCGAATTTTTATTTGCATGAATTGTTATTTGATAGAATTCTTAAAATGACGAATCTGCATTTGTTCGAAATTGTGAATTATCAAATAAAAATACGATAGAAAGATTTTGTCGTTATTTTCAAAATCAACCGCGCAGAAATTATAAAAAAGAATTATGATTGGTCAATTTTTAAAATTGCTCCGAAATCTTTATGTCTATTGTTTGTTCTAATTCTAAATAAAAAGTTGTGTAAAGAGAAATTCTGTAAAATAAAAATTCCGAAAAATACAAATTCGATACCTAAAAAGTTTTGCAAAATAAAAATTTATTTAAAAAAAATTCTGTCAAATACTAATTTGAAACATGAAAAATTCATCTAAAAAATAATTATGAATATAATTCTTGAAAATAAAAAATTTTTAATTATATATATTTTTAAAAATAATTTTTATTATAAATAATACAACAATGTTGATTTAAATAATTATAACATTTCTGTTTTTCTGTACGGAAGGTTACGGTGCATAAATATTATGTTATGACGTTGTCATGTTTTTATGTCTATTATTAAAAATATTATTATTTTGATCCACCGATTTAACAGACTTTTCATTTAATCGATTCTTTATATTACAGAATTTTTAAATTGAAAATTCGTAAAACAGAATTTCTATTTGATATACAATTTTCATTTTCGACAAAAATTTCATTTGGGTTATTCCATTTTATTTCACCTGTAGTCGTTGCGGCCTATTTTTAGAAAAATTTGATATTTCGTATTAATGACTTTGAATATCCGTACAATTCATTTTTGACAATTATTTTATGAAATTTTTTTTTATTTACGTTGAAATTTAGTTTTTAAATCAGATAAAATCCTGAAAAGTTCAGCATTCAACGTAAAATTTCTCATATTTCTATATTATAAAATAAAAAGCCAACATATCATGTGAAAGTACATGAAAAGTACTTATTGTTAGGTAATAATAAATTTTATAAAATTTATAAACTTTCTTGGAAAATATAAATAAAATGTGACAAATTTTGACATTTTACAGATAAGTTTGAATATTAAATTTCACGTAGTATTTTGGCCTTTTTTACACAATTATCAATTAACATTGGTATATTAGACTATTTTTAACAAATATCAATGAAAAAAAATTTACTAACTAAATTATTTCTGTTCTTTTTTATAAAACTTCCAAAGCTGTCAAACTAACCTATTTTCCGTTCAACTCAACTTAAAAACTAAATTTCAACGTAAATAAAAAAAAATTGCATAAAATAATTGTCAAAAATGAATTGTACGGATATTCAAAGTCATTAATACGAAATATCAAATTTTTCTAAAAATAGGCTGCAACGACTACAGGTGAAATAAAATGGAATTACCCATTTGTTAGAATAAACATTTTAGGCAAAAACATTTCGGTGCAAATTTCAAAAATTTTCTGGATAATTTCTGATTGATTAATTTCAAAATTCACGTCCAAAAGTTTTTGACCGAAGTTAATTAAATATTTATTTAGATATATTATTTAAAAAAAAAAACAATAAAAGTTAGGATTTATTTGCCACTTAGAAAATTGGAGCAAAATTGTTAACCTGCTTGTTTTGGGAGCTGTCTGAAAATCCGGACAAAGAAAATAAAAATAAGTTGAATTGCAATTCAAAGCACGTATTACTTATTCACTTGTATAGACGATTTGCGAAGTCATTAGAGAAGAGCCCTTACAATTTGAGATTTTACTGAGTGTAACAATTTTTTTTTTTTTTTTTTTTTTTTTTTTTATTTTATTCTTTCTTTCTTTTATAGCATATAAAACAGGGTCAATGTATAGAATTCTTTAATAAATAAAAATACACTTACGTATTGTGTTATTGAGATAAGTCGTATATCAAATAATATTCCACGTTTCTAAGGTTCACTAAACCAATGGGTGAAAAATATTTAATTTTATGTTTCTTTTGTGTTTGTATTTTCCTGTAATAGAAAATGTATTAAAATGTCAACACACTATCTAGGATTCTTTTCGAACACACATCACGTAACATCCTGCATATCTGATACGATCAAAGTTTCCTCAGATAGTAAATTCCTATGCTAAATTATTTTCTATGCGGTTTAAGAATATAAGATTTTCTGTGATTATAGTATAATATATGTTGGAGAAGAATAAATTGATTGGGAAAACAAATGTACTTTGATATTTTACAAATTATAATAATATTGGACAGTTAAAAGAGAAATATTGTTTGAAAACAATTTTTTAGGAAATTAAATTTTGGCAATTTTCGAATTTTCAAAATTTTAAATGTCGGATCGAATATGGCGGACTCTTTAAAATTCAACAAGATTTGTTCAAGGTCGTTTAACTCATTAACATAACCTTAAACTAAAAAGTAGTTTTTAACGGAACTAAAAATATATTTAAAATTGATTTCCTTCAAATTGGAAAGATCCAGTTGTACAATCCTAGATAGCATGGAAAGTTGCAGCAAGCTTGCTGCAAGCTTGTCTTGAGCTAGCGAAATGTCCCACCCAGGGCAAGCTTGCCGTGAAAGCTTGCTGTAAGCTTTCCAGGAAAGGTTGCTGCAATCTTGCCATGAAAGATTGCTACAAGATTGCTGCAAGCATACTAAGAATGATTGCGGCAAGCTTGCCGTGAAAGATTGCTGTAAGCTTGCTACGTATGGTTGCAGGAGAATTTCAACAAGCTTCTGGAAATGTTGCTGCAAGGTTGCTGCAAGCTTCCTGCAATTTTTTAAAAATACATTTTAAATTAAACAAAAATTTATTTGTTTTCTAAATTTGAAAATCCTTGTGACGTTTATTATTATTAATATTATGTCCTGTTTATTTTTATTTGGAAACTTAACGAGAAAATTTTCGAAACAAATTTGAGGGGACCGGCAATCTTTCACGGCAAGCTTGCCGCAATCATTCTTAGTATGCTTGCAGCAATCTTTCATAGCAAGATTGCAGCAACCTTTCCTGGAAAGCTTGCCCTGGGTGGGACTATTTCGCTAGCTCATACAAGCTTGCACGGTAAGCTTGCTGCAAGTTTCCGTGCTATCTGGGATTTTTAGAAAAAAAATTATTTTGCATTAAAATTTGTTACTAAATAGGAATTAGATATTAAACATTTGGTGTTTTTTCTTAAAAGTTATTAAATAAATAAAATTTGTTTATTAAATAGTTTGTTAAAGAAAATATTTATTAATCAAATTAAACCAAAGTAGATAATTTTTCAGAGATTAAAATGAAACATTGTTTATAAAAATTGAATAAAAATTAGAACCATCGATTCCTTTGAACTGTTCAAGTTACATTATAGTGTGTTAAAAAAAATTTTCTGACGAAATTTAAAATAAACGTTTTTTTTTTTTTTATTTTACAGTCGTATTCTTGAAGGAATCCTTCAGTCAATCAGTAGCTTTTGTCTTCTGATAACACTTTTGGTATACATTTGCATACCTTCTCTAAGGAATTTACATGGTAAAACATTAATGTGCCACGTTGGTAGTCTTTTTATTGCCTACGTTTGTCTCTCTTTGGTAACACTTGACGTTGCAAGAAGTCAGGAAGCTGTAGAAAACGAAGATCCTGTAAGAAAAACTTTATGCTCAATTCTAGGTTTGTATTTTTTATGTTTAGTTTCTATTATTTTTTTAAGTCTCGAAGAAGATATATAATATTTATTTATTTATTTACAAGTTAACGAGTTACAAAAAATAATAATTTAACTTTTAGTGAACTTTAGTAAAAAATAATACTAATTTTAAAAAAAAGGAATAATATTTAACTAAAATAAATAAAATTATTTGATTAAAATTAATATTTATTTAATAGTAGTCAAGTAGCCGATTATTGCACATTCACGAATTTTGATATGTGAGTGCAATTAAAAAAAAATTCAAGGTCGTCTAACATAACATTAAGAATAAATTTATTTCCAGTTTAGTCGTTTAATTTTTTTCCGTGTATTTATTAAACAAGTTCAAAATCTACCGGAATATAAATTACCTACCAATATTTAGCCTATTAAAAATGGGACGCATAATTATGTTCTAAAAATCATTAGTTTCAATTTTCATTTTGTGGAATTTCATTTGTTATAATTATTTTTGAGCCGAATTTTTATTTGTTCGAATTAGTATTTTGTAGAATTTTCATCAAAACGATTTTCTATATTACAGAATTTTTATATAACCGAAAATTCACTTCATAGAATTTTTATTTGTTCAAATTTTTATTTGTCAGAATTTTTATTTACTCGAATTTTCATTCAACATAATAGGCATTTTAAAGAATTTTTATTGGGTTGAATTTCATTGCACAGAAATTTCATTTTATTCTTTCAGATGAATTTTCATTTGTTCGAATTATTATTTGATATAATTTCCAAATAACCGATTTTTCTGCAGAATTTTTACTTAACCGAAAAATCATTTAACAGAATTTCTAATTGATAGAATTTTCATTTGTCCGAAATTGCAAATGTCCGAACAAACAAAGATTTCGGCACGATTTTTAAAATCAACCAATCACAATTTTATGGATAATTTTTGATTGGTTGATTTTAAAAATCGCGCCAAAATCGATTGTTTGTTCGGCCATTTGCAATTTTGGACAAATGAAAATTCTATCAATTAGAAATTCTGTTAAATGATTTTTCGGTTAACGGTGTTCCGTAATGGCAAGCAGGGTTGTCTTTTAAAAATGAGATACATTTAATTTCAAAAATATTATTCTCCCAATTCGGACAGAAATGGCAAAATCGGAAAAAATACCAGTTATCCTGAGTTTGTGTACTTTCATTTGCCTCCAAGAAATTAAAAATTTATTCACATATAAAACGACGTAGGAAGTAAAATAGGGAAGAGTATAAACATTTGTGTAGTACTGAAATTTACCGTCTGGGGCAGCACCTGACGACTACAAAAAAATTTCTTATTTTACTTTTTGATGTCGTTTATTGTAATGAATTTTCAATTTCTTGTGCGTAAATAATAGTACAACATTTCAGGATAACTGGTATTTTTTTCGATTTTTCCGTTTCTATCCGAGTTGAGAGAAAAATCATTTTTAAATTAAATGCAACTACGAGGAGCCAAATTTTGAATGACAACCACTGCTTGCCATTACAGAACACCGTTAAGTAAAAATTCTGCAGTACAAAAAATCTGTTATATGCAAATTATATCAAATAATAATTTGAACAAATGAAAATTCATCTGAAAGAATAAAATGAAAATCCTATACAATGAAATTCTACCCAATAAAAATTCTTTATATTTGCCTATTACGTTAAATGAAAATTCGAGCAAATAAAAATTTTGTGAAGAGAATTTTCGATTATATAAAAATTCTGTAATATAGAAAATCGTTTTGATGAAAATTCTGCAAAATACTAATTCGAATAAATAAAAATTCGGCTGAAAAATAATTATGACAATTGAAATTCCATAAAATGAAAATTCTAACTAATGATTTTCAGAACATAATCATGCGTCCCTTAAAAACAGATTTTTTTTACACCATAATAATTCGTCTCGTGATGAGAAAAATATTTAAAAAATCTCTAATTTTGGGAAGAGTAAAAAAAAAATTTTTTTTGTTTTTTCCCCAGGAAATACTTTGCTGTTTGCTTTTATTTCATCTTTTTCGTGGCTCAACGTTATGTGCTTTGACATTTGGTGGACATTTAGGTAAGTCTACTTGTTTATCGTAGTTAATTAAAACTTTTCAACATACAAACATATTTAGCCTTAATTACAAAAAATAAATATAGATATAAACAGCTGAATAATTACAGATACATCTGTATTTGTTTCATAAACGTTTTTTTTTGCATACAAAATATTATATATAACATCGAAGAATCAAAAAATATTTTTCGCACATGAATTAGAAAGTTATATTTAAATGTATATTTTCTAAAAACATGGTTGGAACAAATTTGTTGGCAGAATTAACGAACATTAAATAAACAATATTTCATTAGACATTGATTTCTAATAAATGATAATTTAATCTCTGAAACCTTTAATAATGGTTTGTTTGTTGAAATAGAAGCACAAATATTTTATGATGTAGATTTAGTGTGAAATTCTGCTAATATGTAAAATTATTGATCTCAACACTGACGATATATATTTACGAATATGTCGGCTTTCTGACTCATCACAAAATTCATTAACAGCGACCACATTGTAATTCATTAAGACTTTTAATATCCATTTCGAGCTTGGCTTGGAATATAAATATATACATTAAAATATAAAATTACAATGTACATACTATAAACTATTCTTCTAAGAGTAATTCTATCTTTACAATTTCTTTTCGAAAAAATAATAAATTACATTTTTTCATTTAATTATAATACATTTTTTTTTTTTTTTAATAAAGTTTAAAAGTTATCGCGTGTTATTAGCATTTTAGATTATAAATATGTTACACGATGAGAAAAGATGCAGTTCAGACTTTAATAAATTATAAAGTAGAAGCTGTTTTTTTTTTTTTTAAATGTTTTGCCTATAATGACTATTGTAATTTTTAAGTCAGCTTGCAATGTTAATTTGTCGACCGGATTTCTCGTAAAATACTGAATGAATTAATTTGAAATTTTTTGAAAAAAATTTAAAACATGGGTAGCGATTATGTATTTTGATTTACCATTGACGTCAAAGTCATTTTCATTTTGACTTCGTAGTCAAATGTCATTTTACATAGTTTTACGTAAAATGATTGTTTTGATTTGTTAAATTGTAATAACCACAATTTCGAAGTATAATTACTTTTTTCCCTTTATTAAAAATTTAAGAATAAAAACTTTATTTAGGAATTAAATGATGAAAAAGTGAAGTAAGTAATTTTAAAAAGATCAAGACAGCATTACAAGGATTTTTAAAAAAACTTTTCTAACTTTAACAAACTAAGGAAAAGTAAGAGGTTAAAAAAACTTTAATTTATGAAATATAATGAAAACATTAATATTATTTTATTTATTTATTCATTCACATATGTTAAGAGGAAAAATTGAAAGAATTATTTAAATATTACTATTTATATATAATTAATTACAGTTTAAATAAAATTAATCGTTAATTTTTATTTACACAAATATAAATAACAGTCTCGTTATACTGAATTTATGTTTAGGAATTAATTGTAATTACATTATGCCAAAAAATTGAGTATTTTAAATAATAATTTATGTTGAGCATTTTCTATTTTAAATTACATCAATAAATTATTATCTACAAAATGTCAATTTGCTCAAAACAGTAGAAAACTAATTTAAGTTAAAATTATTTTAGGAAAAAAATATTTCATCGGTCAAATGTAAGTAATTTTTTATGTTTTGAATTATCTTTTAAACGACATAATTTCTTCTTTAATTTTTGATATTTTAGTTTATTTTATTCTGACTACATTTATAAAAATGAAAATAAGGCATTATTCAAAACAATTATAACATATCCCTGGTTTCAACATTAAAAAATACTTACCGTTGACAGATGAAATAATTCTTTATTAAATAATTTTAACCTAATTATTAATCTTTTAAAAATTCCTTAATTATACCGCTTTTTTAACTGTTTAAAATTACTTACTTTACTTTTTTATAATTTAATTCCTAAATAAATTGTGGATATTACAATTTGACAAATCAAAACAATAATTTTACGTAAAACTACGAAAAATGACATTTGACTTCGAAGTCAAAATGAAAATGACTTTAACGTCAAAGTTAAATCAAAATACATAATCGCTACCATGATGAAGAAAAGTACAGCGTGTCTGAGGCAACTTTAATTGACAGTGTTATGTATATGAGATTTTTTTGTGGTTTATTATTTCTTCACCCCACAAAAATTTATAATCAAAAACGTAAAATATCCGCTTGGCCCTTTTAAAAAAAGTCACTGTTTTAATGTACATAATTGTTGGTTATTTATTAAAATAATAAAGTTTTTAAAAAAATTACTCATCCAAGAGTATACATACAGAGAAATGTTTTATTTGAAACAAATATAATGTATTTGAATTAAATAAACGTATATTTGTCTCAGAGCCTAATAACTTTTTTATTTAGTATATAAATAAAAATTTTATTTGTCATGAATAAATTTTTTATTTAAATCAAAAAAAAATTTATTTCTCACAAATAAATATTTATTTGAAACAAATAAAAATTTACTTGGCTCTGAGACAAATATATCTTTTCTCTGGGTGTAGTACGCCTCCATCATAGGGTTTCCTAGCGGTTACCATATAGAACGATTTATCAATTTTCAAGTTTCAACAGTATCAAGTCTCAACAATATCATGTCTCAACACTCTCAAGTCTCAACAGTCTCAAGTGAATTAAAAGTGCAGTGTAAGTGAAGTGAAAGTAAAGTGAATATCAAGTGAAGTGAAATGAAGTTACAAAATATAGCACCCCAGGTCAGCTAATTATTAATTTAACGTTGAATTTTTCTTTTTTACTCCAATTAATTGCAAGCGAAAAGTTATCTAAAATAACTAAAAGTTTTATTGGAATAGTTAAATATTTCTGTAAAGCATCAAAAGTTATAAAGCTATTCTAGTAAATATTTAACGCTGATGTTGTTCAAAAGTTTCGACCTGTAATTAAATATTCTTTGAAATGATTATAAATAATAAGACTGAATATAATCAATTCATAGCATTTTATGTAGTAATTTATTTTGGTTTAGATAAATGTGATTTGAATTTAAAACAATTATTAGTAAATAAAATATAAATAACTCACATTATAGGTTTTACTAATTTAGATTTAAAGTTTGAATGTACAGTCCAAAAAGTTCGCTGTATTTTGATGATTTATTTACTTCGACTTTTAAATACATTTTCATATTAGCTAAATATATAATATATAATAATATACGTATTATAGCTAAATATAGGTATACTTATATATTTTTGTATTAATGTTGACAATTAATTTTTTATTAAGTACAAAAGATGGTTGTATATCAACAAAAAAAAACTGGTTATATATAGTAAATGTAAAACTAGTTTTATTTTACAACTTAAGTTATAAAAACAAGTTTCTTCGTTTGAGACATTTGCGTGGTTATTTTTAAGATACTTTTAAGTGTCTTCAAGATGCATAAATTAAACACTTATTTACAAAAGACATTTGTAAATGTTTCAGTATCATCTTTTGAGACATTTTACAAGTCGTTCGTTTTTGTATTTATAGTATTCATGTACAAACGTTGTAGTTAAATTTTGAATTATTTTTCAGAACGTAAGCTTAAAATACTTACTGTATATATTGACATTTGTTAAACATTGCGTGATATCAGATTATTATGTAACTAAGAGAAAATATTAATTTGCGAGAAAATCGTTAATTATTTAATGGATTCCTAAAACCAGAGAAGAACCAATAAAGAGTGTGTATGTATGTAAAACTGCGATATACATGTATGTGAAAAAAAAATTTATTTCATTAAAATTCCTGTTTTATTGAATAAATATTTTATTAATGAGAAAGTGAAAGTAAATATTTTACTAAGTAATATTATATGTGTAAATAATATAGTAATAAGTAATAATATCAAGTCAATGTAACAAGTAACTTTTTTATTTAAGTAACATTAAAATCAGTTTTTATCTTTTAATTAAAAATTTCGATATATCGAAGTAATTGATATATCGAAATAATCGATATATCGAAGTAATCGATACATCTAAGTAATCGATACATCTAAGTAATCGATACATCTAAGTAATCGATATATCGAAGTAAACGATATATCGAAGTAATGGTTATATCGAAGTAATCGAAATAATAGATATATCGATACATCTAAGTAATCGACATAAACGATATATCAAAGTAATGGTTATATCGAAGTAATCGAAATAATAGATATATCGAAGTATTCGATATATCGAAGTAATCGATATATCAAAGTAATCGAAATAATCGATATATCGAAGTAATTGATATATCGAAGTAATCGAAATAATAGATATATCGAAGTATTCGATATATCGAAGTATTCGATATATCGAAGTAATCGATATATCGAAGTTATCGATATATCGAAATAATCGATACATCTAAGTAATCGTCATAAACGATATATCGAAATAATTGATATATCGAAGTAAACGATATATCGATGTAATCGAAATAATCGATATATCGAAGTAATTGATATGTCGAAGTAAACGATATATCGAAGTAATGGTTATATCGAAGTAATCGAAATAATAGATATATCGATACATCTAAGTAATCGACATAAACGATATATCAAAGTAATGGTTATATCGAAGTAATCGAAATAATAGATATATCGAAGTATTCGATATATCGAAGTAATCGATATATCAAAGTAATCGAAATAATCGATATATCGAAGTAATTGATATATCGAAGTAATCGAAATAATAGATATATCGAAGTATTCGATATATCGAAGTAATCGATATATCGAAGTATTTGATATATCGAAGTTATCGATATATCGAAATAATCGATACATCTAAGTAATCGTCATAAACGATATATCGAAATAATTGATATATCGAAGTAAACGATATATCGATGTAATCGAAATAATCGATATATCGAAGTAATTGATATGTCGAAGTAAACGATATATCGAAGTAATGGTTATATCGAAGTAATCGAAATAATAGATATATCGAAGTATTCGATATATCGAAGTAATCGATACATCTAAGTAATCGTCATAAACGATATATCGAAATAATCGATATATCAAAGTAAACGGTATATCAAAGAAATCGATATATCGAAATAATCGATATATCGAAGTAAACTATATATCGAAGTAATCGAAATAATCGATATATAAAAATAAACCATACGTCGAAATTTGTTTAAATAAATAAATTTTTTTTTTTTTTGATACTATAAATATTTATATAACAATACTTACGAATTATGCCTAAAAATAACTGATTCTTAAAAAAAAAATATTTCTCTACATCAAAGACTAAATAAATTTTCATTTTTTTTGCAGAAGTACGAGATCACCAAATGGGTCTACTCAAAGTAGAGGACAAAGGAATAGATTTATTATTTATTGCGTATATGCTTGGGGTGTTGCCTGTATAGTAACATTTCTCTGCATATTACTGGATTACACTGATATTTTAAATTACAAGGATCGTCCTCGCATTGGTGTGGATAGATGCTGGTTTCTGCGTGAGTATTTTAAATAAATTATAAACCATTGGAAACTGAGAATTGATAAAAAAAAAATATTTCTATAAATATCTGATTTTTTAAAAATATTTTATGTTTAATTTTGATTAATATTATATCAAAAAAAGATTTTATAGTACAAAAAAAAAAAAAGGAAACGAAAATATTACAGTGGACCTTGATGAAGAGTTACTTAACTTATGCACAATTAATATATAATTAAAAAGTTTCTTAAGAAGAAAATCTATGCTACGATCGATCGAGCTTTTCCGATTCAAATGTCATTAGACTTAAATTAAGAGAGGAACGGAACGTGAAACGAGAGTCATTAGTATTTCAATCGCCGTGACTGGGAGTAGAAATCGTTGGATGATAGAAAAGGAAGACAGGAAAATTAATTAAATGCCCGAAGCCGCGAAGGGACTCGGGAGTTAGAAACTACGTTATAGCGCATTAAGCTATTATAAGAGAGCACAGCGCAGATGCTTACATATAATAAATTCGTGATCTAAAATGAAATGTTCCATTTTCTCGAAAAGAACTTCTTTAATACAAATATAATCCTCTTTCAAATTGAAATTCAAAAAGTTTAATTTAAATAATTTACCAAACTTGTACTTACATTGAAGATAAAAATATTAAGTGTTGTAATGTATATATATTTTTTTTTTTATTTTAAAAACCTAGTTCTTAAAAAGTCACTTCTAAAAGTCGATTTTCCCAACAATATATCAGATTATTTATTTTATTTATTTTTTTTATATTCGTTTGACCTTTATAAACGATTATAGTCTTTTATTGTTCGTTTTCCGATTTTTCTTTTATTAAGAAAAAGAACTTTAATGATTGCCGGCTTTCACTGGGAACTTTTTCTCGATATTTTACGTCACCATAGTTCTTTTAATGGCTGACAACAAATACTTGTTCTTTAGTGAAGTTTAACAACGTTCGAAAAGAGGATGAAAAATGTACAATAAAAAAAAATAAAAGAAAACTTCAAAATGTACTTTCAAATCTGTTTCAAATTGTTTTTGATGCATTCTATTGAAAGTGCAATAAATAAATAATAACATAAAATATATAGAAATAAAATAAACAAATGTGTGCAATTTCTTTTTAATTAAACTATGTATATAGGTCAGAATATTTATGCCTTTTACTCTAATTACTGGTACGAAGTCACGCTAATGTTGTAGTTGTAAAATCTACATTTAATTTTATAAACTTCTCATATCTTTGTTTTCACCTAATTATGTAACAAAAATAATTTAACATTATTTTTAAAAAGATAAGCTAAATGTATTTCTCTGAAAATCCTCTTCTTAGCGATAGTATTATTTCTTCTAGTAAAAACCACTTTGGAAAGCTTTTTCTTAAATAATAGTTTCTATCTAAATCTAAATTAAAGAAAAAAAAAAATCGAAACAGCTTTCATTTATTTATTTATTTAATACAAAATTACAATTTATTTTTTTTATGTTTTTATTAAACGTGCAAAAAATTAGCAACATCATTTTGTTGTTTAAAAAAAAGAAATTATTTTTAATATTTATTTTAAATAAAATTTAAAATCAAAAAACGATTTTTTAACCCATAAATAATGAAAAACAAATTTTCAATTTAAATTGTACTAGTCAAGCACAAAAATAAAAAAATCATATCAGTTACAAAAAAAATTGAAAATTTTTCAAAATAATCAATTTCAAATTCTAAAATATTTTTTTTTATTCATAAATACAAAAAAAAATTAATATTTTTCCAAAAAAAAAAAAATTTTGTGCTGAATTTTACAAGTCTAGCACAAAAAAGAAACAATCATAACATTTATGAAAAATTAATTTTTCAAAAAAATTTAATTTTAAAACTTAAAAAAAAAACACATTTTTTTAATACAGAAATATGCAGAAATTATTACATTTCAAAATTAAATTTTGTCCTGAGTTCTACAATACACCAGTAAAATTTTTACACAATATTTGTTTTTTAAAAATAATAATTTTTTAATATTTTTGAGTAAAATAACGAAACCTAATTTTTGAATTTTTAAAATTGAATTTTTTAAAAAACTTTTTAATTTTTCGTAAACATTTTAATTGTAGTAGTTTTTGCTCGATTAGCACAATTCAGCACAAAAATTATTTTTGAAAAATACTAATTTTTAAATACTCTGGATAAAAAAATATTTTTTTGAATTTTAAAATTAAATTAATTTGAAAAATTTTCAATTATCCCGTGTGGAAAAGTGATGTGGGCCCCCAGCGGGGGCCCTTATGGATCGCCCTCATGCCATGAGGGCCGCATATGGATGATCCATAGGGGCCCCTCATGGAAACGACATGCTCATCGATGAGGGCGCCCGCATGGGCGATCCATGAGGGTGCCCCTACGGGCGCCCTTATGGGCCCTCACGTTTGCCCTCATCTTGCCCTCAAGTTTGCCATAATGTTTTTTAATCAATAATATTAATAATAAAAGTTAATTAATAATAAATAAGCTTAAGTTATGAATAAATAACATATTTATTTAATACTTATTCAATTTTAAATTAAATTCTTACTCAAATTGAATTTATTAATTAACGTTCTAATTAATTAACTGTCGGATATAATTAAAAGTAATAATAAATTAATTAATTAAAAAATTAAAAAATATGTAATTTATGCATACTATTAACGGATATTTTCATTTTTCAATTAATTCATACATAGAATTAATGATTAAACGCAAACCTGAGAAATAAATAAATCTAACGCATGGGGGGAATCGAACCTACGACCTACGGACTATGAGTCTAACGCTTTACCAACTACGCTACGCACGCTACTTCAAAACGAATGCTAACTTCTTGATGCTATTTAAACTTGAAAAATACCTAACAAAGAAAAGTGCTTAACATCATTTAGTTAAAGTTAAGATATTAAATTATATTTTCCAATCAAATGCAATTTATAAAATATAATTAATTATATGCTTTATGATTATTATCATGAATCATCTCAGGCGAATTTTCAAAAAAGTGTAAATATATTTTTATTAAAAACGCGTTTTTCGTTGTTCTGAATCATTGGAAACATTCATTTTTTGTTGATAAAAAAATATTTTATTTTTGGACTTAGAAAATTTTGCTAATCGATCATGAAGGCGATCCATGCGGGGCCCCTACGGTGCCCCTCATGGATTCGCCATATGGATCAGCCCTCATGGGCCCCCGCCGGGGGCCCCGAACTCTTGAGGGCAAGATCGTGGCTTTTTCCACACGGGATGAAACAAAATTTTTTTTTAATATTTGTGGATTAAAAATCATTTTTTGAATTTAAATTTAATTTGTTCGAATTATTATTATTATTATTATTATTTCATAGAATTTCCATAAAACAGAATTTATACTTAACCGAAAAATCATTTAAAAGAATTTCTAATTTTATTATTTTTTTTGTTGTATTTTTTGAGAAAAATTCAATTTTTTATTTGAAAATTAAAAAAAAAAAATTTTCTTCTACCAGTATCGGGCACTATTTAAATTATTGTAGAAAATATTTTTTAACGATGAAGACAATTTACTAACAAAAAAGAAGGAGCTTTTTTGTATTCTGAATTCAAAAATTTTTTTATCAAAATAACCACCATTTTTTTAATTTTGAAATATTTTTTAATTTATCTACCGAATTTTCAAATATAAAAATTATTGGTTCAAATAAAATTTATTTAAATTAAATAAAAATTATTTGGTTCAAGTAAATATTTATTTGATAATGGTAAATCCATATTTTCTTGAGGAAAAAAATTTTCATTTCTACCAAATAATCTGTATTTTAATCATTAATTTCAGTATTTGAAACAAAAATACTATTTAATTGAACATAAAAAAGAATTATTTGATAAAAATCAAAATGTTTCGATAATAGTCAATCAATCGATACAATATTTACTTTTTGGCTCTTGTCTCTCATATATATATATAAATTTTAATATATAAAAAAGATGAAACGATATTATTTATATTGTCATAAAAAAATGTGTCTATAACATTATAAAGGAAATAGAGCAGAAGTTTTGTGATAAGGAACATAATAATATATATATAATATCAAAAATATTCATGAAAAACTATATTAAAGTTTAATCACAAGAGATATGTGCAAAGAATTGAATTTTTTCATGGAATCGAAATTCGATCTGATCCCATGATAATTCTTGAATCAAATTTTGGTAATTTGCACAAAAAAAAAAAAAAAAAAAAAAAAAACTAATGGTTTAAGAAAATTGGAAACGTTAAAATCATTATAAATATGTGCAATATGGAAACTAGAAACGAGGGGCGTTTGAGAGATTATAGAAATCATGAACATATATCGTACTTTTAAAAATAGAAAAAAAAAATTAATTTCGGTATAAAAAACATATGTTGAAATATGTAATTTTACTTATATTTTACAGATGGACTTGGTATTGGAGAGCTAATCTTTTTCACAGGACCAGTGTCGATTATTTTGTTGATAAACTTAATATTCTTTATTATGACGTCAAGAAATTATAATAGAGTAAAAAGTCAGATTAAAAAAGTTATGGCGGAACCCACCGATCAGAGAAACCGACTGTTTGAAGCTGATAGGGATAAGTAAGTGTCTCATAGATTTTATTTTATTTTACGAACTTTAGGACAAGTCATTATTATTAAATTAATAAAGTGATAAGAATCAAGAAAATTTATTTTATTTCAAAAACAAACATTTTTTTTCATTAATTTTTATAAAATTAAAACAATATAGTCTAATTGAAAACCACAATTCAATTCGGGGAAGTTTTATTATGTATTAATATCCCACGGAGGGAAGAAATCTAAAAGTAGGGTTCAAATTAACTTTGAAACATACAATTTTGGACAAAATTAAAAAAAAAAAAAAAAATTTTCTTCGGTTCAAAATTAAATTCTATATCTAAATTCTAAGGACCTATAAGAGATGATTTTTTAATCTTTTTTTTTTTGTTTAAACTTTTAATGTTTTAATATTAATGAAAAAAAGTTTTAATTTTTTTGTAAAATTTTGTAAATTCTCATCGAATTTTCTTATTAAGGGGTGGCATCACCCTTATTTAAACCGTTTCAATTTAAATGATCACAGAAAGTATTTTATTTGTCAAAATAATAAAATCTTATTTGGAGCTCAGTTCAATATAATTGTACAAAAATTTCCGTGTAATATAAATTGTATCACGATTTAAATTTGAATTCACGTAAAAAATAAAGAATAAATTCGTTTGTGATATTATTTTATACTTTTTAAAGATTAATATAATAATTATTAATAAAAATAGAAAACTTTGAAATTGACTTTGATTATTTGTTGATAAAAATTTTTGAAATACAAAAACATTTTTTTATTATTTGTATACCCCTTGAAATTAATTGTATGTTCAAATTTATTGACCCTGTAACTAGAGATTTTTTTTTATATTTGAATCAAATTTAATAAAAAAAGAATTTTTGTTTCAGAACCAAATAAATATTTATATTATATCTTTCAAATAAATGTTATTTATGGCAAAGAAAATTTTTATTTAAAATTAAAACAAATAAATATTTATTTAGCTTAGCAAGATATATATATATATTTTTTTTTTTCTTTGGTTGTAAGAAAGCAAAGTGTGAGTGTTTGATAAAATGAACACAGAAAAAAAAATCATACTGCAAATTGGCAGAGGTTCTTTGAGATTAATCGTGGAAGGAAATCCTTTTTGATTTGCTCGAGCGAAGAAAAGCCATGTTAATTTTGTTTGAGTGTGGAAGGGACGACAAAAGCAGAAGATCGATTCTATCTTGATTACTCTGAAGCTAGTGCTAGAAATAATACTACTTTGCCAAGTGTTAACCGAGTTGCTAAACTTCTTAAGTTTTCTTCATAAAATAAATTAGATAACAAAGTTGTCCTTTGTATTTTAGTATCATGTCAATATTATATATTGTAATATAAACATTTATTTAAAATGTCATACAATTAAATAAAATACATTATAATTTACTTTTTATAAAATTATACTTTTTTTTTAATATTAATTATTATTTTTTTTTCTATTTTCAGATTAGTTATGAACGTAAAACTCTTCATTGTCATGGGAATAACTTGGATATGTGAAATAATATCAAATTATTTGAATATTTTTGTTCCACGTCTTTTGGAATATAAATTCTTTTTAGTTTTCGATTTAATTAATTGTCTTCAGGGTGTTTTTATATTTGTTCTTTTTATAATGAAAGAAAGAGTTTATAAAGCTTTATTCCAGAGATTGTTTGACAAAAATGAAACAAGTCATACAAGTAACACAAGCAATAATAGTAATCCAAAAAATATGAAGAAAAGCTCCAGTAATTCAACAGTAATGACGACTTTTGCCATATCTCGTGATATCAAATAATTTACCAAACGTATCACAAATCATTGCAGAATCAAAATACAATGTATGAAAAAAAAATCGGGACGCATGATTATGTTCTAAAAATCATAAGTTAAAATTTTTATTTTATGGAATTTCATTTGTCATAATTATTTTTGAGCCGAATTTTTATTTATTCGAATTTGTATTTTGCAGAATTTTCATCAAAACGATTTTCTATATTTCAAAATTTTAAAGAATTTTTATTGGGTAGAATTTCATTGCATAGAATTTTCTTTCAGATGAATTTTCTGATTTTTTTTTTTATTTCGATGCGATTTTTAAACTCAACCAATCAAAAATTATCCGTAAAATTGTGATTGGTTGAATTTAAAAAATTGCGTCAAATTTTTTTGTCGATTGTTTGTTCGGACATTTGCAATTTCGGACAAATGAAAATTCATCTGAAAGAATAAAATGAAAATTCTCTGCAATGAAATTCTACCCAATAAAAATTCTTTAAAATGCCTATTATGTTAAATGAAAATTCGAGTAAATAAAAATTCTGACAAATAAAAATTCGAACAAATAAAAATTTTGTGACGTGAATTTTTGGTTTATATAAAAATTCTGTAATATAGAAAATCTTTTTGATGAAAATTCTGCAAAATACTAATTCGAACAAATAAAAATTCGACTCAAAAATAATTGTGACAAATGAAATTCGATAAAATAAAAATTCTAACTAATGATTTTTAAAACATAATTATGCGTCGCAAAAAATCATTGTCAATTTTAATTGACAAAAAAAAAATACTGTAAGCATTTATGTTCATAAGAAAAATATGTTTATACCTATTATGTTATATTTTTATAAATGTTAATTTTTTAAGTAAAATTGTCTTTGTTTAACAATATATGTAAGCGAAAAGAATTATATGTTTGATGTAAAATGAATGTTTTGAAATGTAATGCGCCGAATATTAATTGTTTACCAAAGAAACTAATGATAATTATTATAATTGCATAATTCTACGAAATTTATTGTAATTTTTTATTACTTACTTAAAACTCATAATAATTTTTTTTTTAAATTGTTATTGATAGTAAAAGTGATTTTATACTGAAGTGCAATTAAAAAAAAAATTAATATTTTAAATTTTATCATTTATTAGCCATGGCAAATGTGGTATAACTAAATGACTTTTAAACACATTTATAAAAAGTAAAAATATTTTTATATATTATAGACATTTCTTATAAGATTGTATTATTTTTATTTTAAAGTTTTTATGTTTTATAATTCTGCGTATTTTTAGTATGTTAATATTTTTATATATAAATAAACTTTTTTTTTTTAAATATAATCCGTATTTTTAATATTTATAGAAATTAAATTTTTAACCATTTTTTTTCTAGTTCCTACAATTTTTTTACGAAACGTTTACAATGATTATGATCAACAATTAAAAATTTTTAAAAAATTTTCACGCGAAAAATAATAAAATTTTTTGCCTACAAATTTGTTTCTTTTTTTAAATTTGTCGATGAAAAAACGTTGCAAAAATTTTTTCAGGTTAAAAATTATTATTTTTAATTAAAATATATTTTTTCTTCTAAATCGTTGATCATAAATGTTGTAAATTTTACCAACGCGGTTAGAGTTCAGAAAATTTGGTTTAGACTATGTAAATTGATAAAATCAACGGGTTTTTTTTTTCTAAATTTCCATAACAAATGGGAATATTTCTAGAATTTTTAACCTTTAGATGTCACATGTTTATGCAATAATTATACCGACTCGTGTGTAACGAAGAATAACAAAATCGAGATTCGGGTCGAAAAAAAACACTCTTGAAGATAATATAACCAAAACTTAGTTTTCATTTTAAGTTTTCTGTACAAATAAAAAAGTTTTGTCGAAGTTTCTCTTTCGCGTTGTAATATTTATTTAAAAATTAAATATAATCAAATTAGTTTTTTAAAACAAAAGGTTCGTTTTCTAATTTGCAAATCAGGAGTATTAGTTTTCGTACAATGAAAAATGATACTAGGTTCGAAAAAAAGGTTTAAAAAAAAAGTTGCTAATTTCGGAATAAGTTTCTTTAAAATTCCAAATTCGAAAATTTAATTCACGAAGCTGAAGTACACAACGTTTATCAACGAAATTTTTTTTAAAGTTGTATATTCATTCAAAAATTGTTTACAAATACAAAAAATTTATGATGAGAAAAAAGATGCGCCAGGAAATTTCGTACAAGATAGTAATTTGAAAAAAATTTATTTTTAAAAATTAATTTTTAAGGTACCAGGGGCCAACGAATACCTATTAAATATTAATTATAAAAACACAGGCCTCGAATAAACTCAAAGACACAAAAAGTCGTTTTAGTCGATTTATATTCCAAAAAAAAGTGGATTTGCTTTTTTATTTTAACAAAAATATTTTACAGATTTTTAAATAAAATTTTTTTTTTTTATTATTATCCTTTTCGAAGGGTTAAAGTTGAAATTTTCAGAAATAATTAAATTTCAAAAGATATTGTTAATTTTCAAACAATTATTAAAATTTACAGAACTAAAAATAATTTATCAAACAATTTTTGGAAAACATTTTTTAAATTTAATTGAATTTTCAAAGATTTAAAATTGAGATTTTTGAAATTAATTGAAACTTTAAGTGATTTTTAATTAAACTTTTAGATGATTTCACTAAAAATTTATTAGAAAATGCAGACAAAATACAATAATTTGAAAATCATTTTTAATTGAAAAATGGTTTCAAATAGTTGAATTTTCAAAGAATATTATTAAAATAGTTAAAAATAATTGAATTTCCTTAGAGTTATAATTGAAATTAATAAATTTCAAAAAAAAAAAATTACGATGGAAAATTTTAGAAATAATTAAATTTTAGATGCTTTTAAATTCAAATTATTGAAAATTCAATTAATTTTGAATTCAAATTTTTGAGAATAATTAAATTTTATTTGATTTTAAATTTGGAAAATAATTGAATTTCAGTTTATTTTAAATTGAAAATTTTGGGAAATAATTGAATTTTAATTGAAATTTTGGATAATAATTTAATTGAAGTTCATGTTTGATTGAAAATTTGGATAATTAATTTTGAATAGAAATTTTAGAAAATAATTGAATTTTATTTCATTTTAAATTGAAAACTTGCTAAATAATTAAATTTTAAATTGAAAATTTTGGATAATTATTGAATTTTAATTGATTTTGAATTAAAATTTCGGGAAATAATTGAATTTTAGTTCATTTTGAATTGAAATTTTTAAAAAATAATTCAATTTTATTGTGATATTTTTTTAAAATTATAAACAATTGTTAAATTTCATAAAAATTTTAATTGAAAAATAATTTTGATATAATTGAATTTGTGATGTATTTAATTAAAATTATTAAAAATAATTAATTTAGTGAAGAATCATTTTAGTTCAAAATTTGTTAAATAATTGAATTGAAGAAGATCTGAAGAAGATCTACATTTTATACTAAAAAAATGTATTTTATTTACATTTTTTTTTTCAAATGTAAAAAAAATGTCGCATTTTATTAAAATAAGTCGATAAAAGTCGTATTTTTGAAAAAAAGTAGGAAAAAGTCGTATAATCCGAGGCCTGTAAACATATAATTTTCATTATTATCATTTAATATGTAACAATATTCTAATAAATTAAATTATTATTGATAATATTAATCTTTAATTTCTTTATAACAAATAAGTAAATACTCAATTTGTCGCGCTCGCGCGCGTTTAATTTTTCTAGTATAATAATAATTAATGTAATTAATTAATTAATTAATTAATAAAATAATATTTTTTATCGATAATTTTTTTACACCTTTCTTATAATTTCGAATAAAATCAATCGTATGAATTTAAAATTTAAGCAAAAAAATAAAATTTCTAAAATGTTGAAAAATATTATTTAAAAAATTTTAAGAACGTAAAAAATGAATAGATCATAAATAATGTCAGAAAAAAAAATAGTTGAATTGAAAATTTCAATAGATTAAAATTTCAGTGATCCCTCCTCCCCTTAAAATGTAAAAGAAATGAAAACTCTACTATAGTGAAAAATTATTTTTATTTAACAATTATCACATCCTTATTCCAGAGTTTTATCGCAATTTCACTATACATATTTATATTATACTTTTAGAACATTAAAATTGACAATTTAAAAATTTTTAATTATAATTTATATAATACTAAATAATAGATTTATATAGAAGAAAAATATATACATTTATCTAGTATCATAGATACTACTCTTATATATATATAGTGTATTGCTTCATTTCAAAAGATGTATTACTTATAATAAAGACTCGGAAATAGGTTAAGAATTAGAAGTCTTTATGATCCAGATGAAACACCCCTAATTCACGTAGATATTTCTTTCACGTTCAGATCCAGATATACTCATATAATAATGATTTGTAACTTCCCACTAAATTATATATCTATATATATACCTTGTAAAAATCTCATTCTTTTACATTACAATTTTTTTCTAAAAGAAACTAATTTAAATTCAAAGCAATATTTTCATCTCATTCTCTTTAAGCATTTTATACCTTATTATAACTGTATAAAAAACCGTAATTGACAATTTCATTATTGTTTACAATAATTAATACAAGATTTTAGAATTTAAGTTATAGAAAAATTACGCTGTAGATTAAAAAATGATACATTTTTTAATATTCCATTTACAACCTCACATGAATATTTTGTTTTCGTTCATTACAATTCAATACATACACTTGTAAAATATTCCAATTTTTTTTTTTCTTTAAAAACTACTGGAGTTGGGAGTAAAATTTTCTAAAGTTAAAAATCGACTCCAAAAAGGAGTTTTGAATTTAAAAAAAGGGAGTAAATCAAAACCTTTTGATAAAAATTACTATTTATAAATTTTCACTCTTTTTGATTCAACGTCATCAGAGTATGAAATCTCGAGATTTATAAATAAACTCCCCTTTTTTTTTGCTGAATATGTGTATATAGAAAATATATTTATATACATATATAAACTAAAAAGAAAACTCCAAAAACAGTGTAAAACCGCGAATTTTTATAAATGATTTTTCTATCATCCAGCATCAACTTGATATCAGGGTTTTCCATTCTCAATTCTATTGACATTTTCGGCAGTTTCTTCCAAGTCGGGATCTTCATTGATTATTGAAATGTCACGAATAGAAGGTCGACGTGTTCGCCAGCCATCTGTCACGGCAACTGGTGCCGAAGTCTTTTTCAAAAGTTTTGGTCCCGATAAAGATATTATAATTGCTCCTATTGGTGCAGTGAGTAAAATTGAAAGAACGCAAATTGCTAAAACTGTTTCGGCATAATGAACTTGATCTGCATCTTTATCATCAATGCTATCCAATGTACCAGGACCAAGTGCAGCTTGAACAGTGGCCTTTGCCATCCAAGAAATTGCAATAAATACCTTTTCCTTCATATTTAAATTTGAACCAATTCCAACGAGAATTGTCACCAATATACGAATGACAATGCCCGCAGCGAGACATCCAATTCCCAAATAAACGGTACTTTCATCCAATTCGGAAATTTTAATTTGCGTTCCTGTTATTCCAAACAAAATTGGCTCAAAGATCATCCAGAATATTTCAAAGGCAGTTGCTACCGGGTTCTAAAAAAAAAAGAAAATTGTTTTACATGTTGAGTATATTACATGTGAAACTGTTATGAATATAGTATAAAGTTCTCGAGACGCATGAATATGTTCTGAAAATTCTATCTTATGATTTTCAGCTTAGAATTCTATATTACAGAATTTTTATATAACTGAAAATTCAGGGCGCACTCACACCTTTTGGCTGCCTGCCTGCCTGCAGGAGTTGTCATGGCAACGTGAAGGAGTAACAGAGATAGTAAATACAAATTTAAATTTTCTCTCTCTGTTACTCCTACACGTTGCCATGACAACTCCTGCAGGCAGACAGCCAAAAGGTGTGAGTGCGCCCTCACTTTACAGAATTTTCATTTGTTCGAATTTTTATTTGCTCGAATTTTCATTTAACATAATAGGCATTTTAAAGAATTTTTATTGGGTAGAATTTCATTCCAGAGAATTTTCATTTGTTCGATTTATTATTTAATATAATTTCCAAATAACCGATTTTTCTGCAGAATTTTTACTTAACCGAAAAATCATTTAACAGAATTTCTAATTGATAGAATTTTCATTTGACTGAAATTGAAAATGGCAGAACAAACAATCGATAGAAAGATTCGGCGCGATTTTTAAAATCAACCAATCATAATTTTATGGATAATTTTTGTTTGGTTGATTT